AGGTGACAGCACCCAAAGTGCCCCCACCCCCAGCAGCACTGGGTACCAGGCAGGGTTTGGGACGGGACGCTGCTCCCAGCAAACAGAGGGGACTGGCAGAGCACATCCCCGGTGCCAGGGCACCTCCCCGTGCTGTTATCCCCCCACACTTCGGTGATCCGCAGCTTTTTATCCTTCTCCTGGGCTCTGTTGAGCAGCAACACCCATAAAACACCGAAGGGAAGTGGCCAGAGCACAGATAACCCCTGGGATGGAAAGTCCCGGACAAATTCCCCGATGGAGAGGCCAGAATCCTGGGGAAGGAGCCAGGCGAGCCTTTCTGTGCCTCGTGCCTTTGCCATGCAGTTTCGCCGTCGCTTTATTAATTGAGAAGGCAAGAGGCAATTAGTGCCGCTCGTTAATGCCCGGCCCGAGTCCTCTGCTCCTGCACCAGGCAGCGGGGTCTGGCTCCTCCAGCAGTCCCAAACACCCCACAGGGAGTCCCAAACACCCCTCGAGTCCCAAACTCCCCAAAAGGAGTCCCAGATAACCCTCAAGGAGTCCCAAATAACCGTCAAGGAGTCCGAAACACCCCACAGGGAGTCCCAAACACCCCAAAGGGAGTCCCAAAAACCCCAAACACCCTGAAAGGAGTCCTAAACACCCCAGAGGAGTCCCAAATAACCTTCAAGGAGTCCCAAACACCCCAAAGGAATCCCAAACTCCCCAAAAGGAGTTCCAAATAACCCTCAAGGAGTCCCAAATAACCATCAAGGAGTCCCAAACACCCCACAAGGAGTCCCAAACACCCCACAAGGAGTCCCCAAGCAACCCAAAAAGGAGTCCCATACACCCCAAAATTAGTCCCAAACACCCCAAAAGGTGTCCCATACACCCCTCGAGTCCCAAACACCCCACAAGGAGTCCCAAACACCCCAAAAAGGAGTCCCAAATAACCGTCAAGGTGTCTGAAACACCCCACAGGGAGTCCCAAACCTCTCACAAGGTCTCCCAAACACCCCAAAAAGGAGTCCCAAACACCCCACAAGGAGTCCTAAACTCCCCTCAAAGAGTCCCAAACACCCCACAGGGAGTCCCAAACACCCCACAAGCTGTCCCAAACACCCCTCATGTCCCAAACACCCCTCAAGGAGTCCCAAACACCCCCCAAGGTCTCCCAAACAGCCCCCAAGGTCTCCCAAACACCCCCCAAGCCTCACGGGGCTGGACATGGGCACCTGCTCCAGCCAGGGATGCGCCAAGCGCCCCCACCCAGCTCTCCCAGAGGACGCACGAAGCACCGGAGCCTCCGGGGGACCCCCCCAGCTCCTCCCCCGCCTCCAGCTCTCCGCTCCGGCGACGAGGAGCGGCGTCCCCCGCTGTCCCCCGCTGTCCCCCGCTGTCCCCCGCTGTCCCCCGCTGTCCCCGGCGCGGCCTCCTCACTTCGCCACGAAGCAGTAGGTGCCGTAGGCGCTCCTGTCCTTGCTGGGGAAGCCGAAGCTGCGGACGCCGGGCTCGGGCAGCCCTCCGCAGCGCTGCCGGGGGGTGCTGATGGGGTAGCGCACGCTGCCGTCCGCCAGCCAGCCCCCGTCGCAGCGGTCCAGCCGCGAGAACTTCCAGGCGGAGAAGAGCTGCCCCACTTTGGCCAGGGCAGCGCCGTGGCTGCGGCACGCCTGGCTCGCCTCCTTGAAGTTCAGGTGGCCGCGGATGAAGTAGACCTGGCCTGGGGGACGCAGCGGGGACACGGCGGTGAGCGAGCGGCTGCTGCGGAGCCGGGCGGGCAGCGGAAGGACGGGGGAGCCGCGGCAGGACCTTGAAGAGAGGAGGTGAAGCAGAAAGCGTCGAATCGGTCCTTCTGCTTGTCCCTGGCGCCGTAGGTGCGCACGCCGGGCGGGAGGAGGCGGCCGCCGCACGGCTCCCGCGCGTTGATGATGGGGTAGTGCACGGTCCCGTCCAGGATCCAGCCGGCGTTGCACCAGTCCAGACCCTCCGTCCAGGCTGTGGGGCGAGAGGCGACTCAGCGGCGGCACGTCCCTCCGCCCCGTCCCCAGCCAGGGTGGGTTTGGGCTGCAGGGGGGTTCTTTTCGGCACCCTTCACCTCTGTAGAGCTGCTGGTAGGTGGCGAGGCGGGCGTCCTGCTGCTCGCAGGCTCGCTTGGCTTCGTGGTAGTTGAATTTGTAGCGCCCGTTGCTGGGCTGGTAGGGGAAGACGACGCCTGGAGGGACAGAGAGGGGGTGAGGGCATCGCCGTCCCCACGGAGGCTTTGACACAACACCCCAGAGGATTCGGTGCTAAATTTAAGGCTGGGAACATGCGATGGGGGTGGAGGCCCCGAGCCACCATTCCAGCCGAGCGCGCCCCTCCTGCCACCCCGCTCACCCTCAAGGTGCAGCGTGAGCGAGATGCTCTCGTCCTCCAGGCCGTCGACGAGCTGGCAGCGGTAGCGGCCCTCGTCGTCCAGCGCCACGTCGGTGATGGTGAGCGAGGCGTCGTAGCGGTGGCCGTGCCGCAGGCGCGCCCGCGGGCCCAGCGGCCCGTAGCTCTTGTGCAGCAGCCCGTTGGTGATGATGATGATGCTCTCGCCGTAGCTGGCCGGCTCCACCTTGCTCCACTTCACGCGGTAGTTGCGGGGCAGCGCCCGCAGCACGCAGGGCAGCGTGGCCGTGGCGCCGCGCCGCGTGTGCACCGTGGGGTGCAGGGGCTCCAGCAGGTACTGCAGCTGCAGTGGGGCTGCAGCCCCCCGGGCGGCCTCAGCACCACCTCTCCCACACCCCCCGAGCGCCCTCAACCCCCAGCAGCGCCTGATGGTCTCTCTGATCCATCCCGCCTCCTCTTCATCCCTCCTGCGCCTTCAGGAGGCACCGCTCCGCTCCTGCCCTGCCTGACCCGCCCAGCACCACCTCCCCTCCCCAGCACCGGCTCCAGCAGCAGCGCCCAGTCCTCCCTGCGGGCCCTGCTCCCCACATCCTCCCCCCAGGCCCTGCTCCCTACCTGGGGTCCCCGTTGGCCGCTGGAAGGTGCTGGAGCCCGGGGGAGCTGCCAGGAGCCAGAGGCAGCCGAGCAGGAGCAGCCGGTGCATCCTCAGAGGCGGGGGCAGGATGGAGCCTGGGGGAGCGCGGGGGTCAGGGACAGACACAGCCCAGCTTTGAGGGACCTGCAGGTGTGGCTCTGCTCTGTTGTGCAGAGGGGACACTGACCCCCAGGCCATGCCAACCCTCCGTCCTGGCACCCCCCAGTCTCTTACCGTCCCCAGACAGGTCCTTCGGGGCGCCGCCGTGCCCATCCAACGCCCCCTGCCCACGTGCTGCCCCGGCTCCTGCTGCTTCCCTTCTCCGTCATAAACACCCCAGGGTGTCCTGGGCAGGCCAGAGCCGCGCCACGAGGCAGAGGGGACACGGGGACACGGGGACACGGGAGGTGGCAGCAGGTGATCCCGGCCAGCCCTTCGCTGTCACCGTGCTGGGGCGGGCAGCGTCCTGGCAGCCCCGCGGCGCCGCGGGCCCTTGGTGCCCGCTCCCATGGTGCCAGCCGTGCCCTCGCTCCCTGCCCTGCCACCCTCTCTTCCTGCTTTCTTCTCTCGTTTTTTTTCCCCCTCCAACACCTCCCCGAGGAGCGCACGGGGAGGAGGAAGCACAATTTCCCATTGTGAGTGTCTTTCTCTTTATTGTTCTGCTCGGCAAAACACAGTGTGCCCGGGTAACAAACATCCCTTTATCTGCAGGCCGCGGCTTTGGGAATTCAGGGAAAATGTCAGTTCTGCATCGGGCTCCAGCAGCCTCTTGGGCTGCAAACCCACCCTTAGTGCCGGCCCCAGTGCTGGGCCGGGGCTCTCTGATCCCACAGACAGCAGGGCAATGGTTCATTTTACTCCATCCCCGGTGAAGGGATGATGTTCCCACCCCTTGAGGCTCTGGAGGGCTGTGCAAAGGGGCTGCCCCACCACTCGGGTCCCACTGGATTTATCCTGCCCCCCAAAAAGGCTTCGGGGAGGCTTCCCCATCACCCCCCGGAGCAAAGCACGGGCACACAATGGTGCTGTGTTCTGGGCTGCCACAACTTCTTCCTCCCCCAGGGTCCATCTCCAAGGGTGGAGGAAGCTCTGCTCAGAGGAAGCACAAGACAAGCAGTGACTGTCCCCAGCAGCTCCCTGGCCTGGCCATGGCACACACACCACAGCAAACAGCCCCCCCAGGGGAGGGGCACCCAGGTGCCCTCATCCCCCACCTGCTCCAGCCTCTTTTCAAGAAGGGACACCAATTCTGATGCCAGCAGGCTGCACTGGAAGCCTTCTGCCAGCTCGGAATGGTCAGAGCTTTGGCTCGCTGCGATGGGCACAAGGTGCCCGCAGCTTTGCTCTCCCCGGGCTGAGGGAGGCCAAAGTGGAGCAGCAGCACTGCAGGCTCCTCCCTCGCAGCTCCCCACGGTTATCGGGTGGGTCCGAGGATCTTCAGAGAGTCTCATCTCCCTCCCTCACACTTCCCGTGCCCACGGCTGCAGAAGCACATCCTGTTCTCCCCCAGCAGCAGCTCCGGGCTGCTTGGCTGCAGGATGCCGATTCCCAGCTCCGTGTTATCACAAACGAGCTGTTTCTCACATTTTTGCCAAGTGAAGGCACCAGCTACAGTCCCCAGCCCTCACAGAACCACAGCCCGAAGCAGAACACTTGCAGGGACTCCCAAAAGTGACTCACCCCCCTTCCCCATCCCGTTAGCATCAGGGCACGACCCTAGCCCACCACCGCGTATCTGAGTTCAGAGTTTGGCCCGGTGCTGTGGGAAGGAGTCACACAAGTCGCTCTCCAAATATACACTGCGTTACTTCTCTGCTGCTTGTCTCTTTTCTCCCTTTTTGGGATCTGCACCCACTCTCCAAACAGCTCTGCAGAAGCAGAGGCAGCCAAAGGAAAGCCCAGGAGCCCCTTGTGCTCAGCTCCCCCAGCTCCTGGCGTGGGCTCCACCAGGAGCCCCTGACTCTGCTCCTTGGTCCTGTTCTTCAAAGCTCAGCTTCTCCTTCTCCCCTCTCGACCCCACAGGAAACCTCACCCCCAAAACCCCCTGAACACCCGATTTTCCTTCTGACCAGGGAATTTGAGCCCAGCTCTGTGGGACTTTGCTGAGCCAGCACCTCCACAGCAGCTCAGTCCCACCACATCACCCTCCACTTCCTCTGCCTGACCCAGTCCCCAGAGGCAGAACCCTCATGCTTCCCCTCCCACAACTCCTGCCCCACCCCAAATCCGGTCCCACACCCCAGCAGAGAGGAACACTGACCCCACACAGCCCACACACTTCCCAGCACAGCACCTGGAGCCACCTGATGTGGCAACGCCAGGTGTGTGGAGGTGTGCCAGGGCATCCATCCCTGAGCTTCCGTGTTGGCAGCGCTGCCCCGCTCCCGGCACTCCCTCCGAGGTGAGGGAGACACCTGGCCCCAGCCTGGCCCCAGCCTGGCCCCAGCCTGGCCCCAGCCTGGCACCAGCCTGGCCCCAGCCTGGCAGGCGGAGTTTGCAGCCCCAGCGTGGCTCTCCCCATGCGCCCCCTTGGCAGGACTTCGCCTCGCCCGGCCGCCCCCCGCCATGCCTGAGCACACAGCCGCCTCCAGGCTCCGGCTCTCCGGGCTGTGCTTCCTCCTGCAAATCCTCAACATCCTCCTCTTCGCCGCCTTTGTGCGGTACAGCCCCGGGGGCAGCCCCGGGCCGTGCCCGCCGCAGCTGAACTGCAGCCGCAGGAGCCCGGCCTCGGCTTTCCAGCAGCCCCGTGAGTACCCCCGTGGCCGTGGGGGCACAGAGCCCTTCTGCTGGGGGGGATGGCACCGGCTGGCACCGCTCAGGCTGCAGACCTGTCACAGGGTTACCAGCGAGGGCACATCGAGCTCAGGGTTGGGTGCTGCTGCTTCCCGGAGGGGGTAAAGCAGACGTGCCGCAAGGATTTCTGCAATGCCTGCACAGAGCCAGCGCCAAAAAAGGGATATTTGGGTCTGGGACGTGTGTTAGAGCAGCGGAGCTCGGAAGGGATCGCTGAGTGCAGTGAAAAACTGGGGATCCCACGCCTGGAAGGGAGCGCGGCAGCTGCTCCGGCGCTTTCTGCAGAGCTTCCCAGGGAGCAGCGGGGCTTTGCAGGGCCGGGGGTTCACCCCGAGCCCCTCCACGGAGGGTTCGGCTCCCTGGGTGCTGCCACGGGGCTCGGCAGGGGCTGGGGTCTGCCCTGCCGGGAGCATCCCGCTGCACGCGGGGCAGCACCGCAGAGCTCCTGCCGGGGTCAGGGGCTGCCCCTCGCTTCTCTGAGCCGCACACAAGGTGGGCAATGGGACGGGAGCTCCGGAGCGCCCCGGCCGAGAGCGGGGAGCGAGCGGAGCCGCCGGGCAGGGAGCTGGCAGCCGGCAGGTTTGCCCGGTTTGCCCACGGAACCCCACCCAGGCAGTGACTCACGGCGGAGGCCGGGCCACCGCTGTCCCTGAAGGGCTGCGAGGAGCATTCAGCCCAAGCAAGAATCACGCCCCCCATCCTCTGGTTTGCCACCAAATGGTACCAGACCCGTCCCACCTCTCTGCTCATCCTTTCTCCTCATCATGGAACGTGATGCTTTCAGGGGCAGCTGCGAGGTCCCAGCGGTGCTGATTTCTCAGAGCCACTTTCGTGCTGGTCTAGTGGGTGCAGACAGCTCTGGGCCACCCCAGGAGGTTTTTGTGCTGTGGGGTGAATGGCCTGAGATACCTGCACGGGGCAGTTGCAGATGGGGTGGCCAAGAGCTGCTGCCGAGGCTCACATCAGGCTGGGATGGTTTTACCTCTCCTGGCACTCCCCACTGCAGATCTCCAAGGAAGATCTTCCACCGTGGCTCCAGCTCCCATCAAGTGGAGCGAGCCTTCAGCTCCCCAAAGCCTGTCAGAGCAGGGGTGTCTTAGTCCTGTGTGAGTCCCCCCAGGGACCAGCAGGAGGGTGGCTGCCTGCCCTCAGCACCTCCCCGTGCCTCTCCTTCTCCAGCAGGTTTTCAGGATGCCCACATCCAGGTGCTGCTCAGCTTCGGGCTCCTGGTGGCGTTCCTCAGCCGCTACGGGCCGGGCAGCGCGGCCAGCAGCATCCTCGTCACAGCCTTTGCCATCCAGTGGGCTCTTCTGATCCAGGGCTTCTTTTACTTCTTCCTCAACGGCAAAATTTACGTGGAAGCCCAGAGGTAAGGCAGGAGGGAGCCCAGGCAGCTCATCCCAGCCCAGCCCCGGCACACGGGCTCCCTCCTCTGTAAAACTCACGGCTCTGCTTTGGAGGAGGGTTTTGCAGACAAGTGGCACGGGGTTGTTTGAGTGCTGCCCTGGCAAGGGCTGTGTAAGTACTGCCAAGGCATTCGGGGGGGCACCCTGGCCCCCACCTGCCTCCAGCCCAGCCATCCCTGTGCCAGCAGCACCTCAAGGCTCTGCCTGCTCAGCCTGCAGGAGCAGCGGGCTGCAGGCTCAGCTCCTGCTCCTCCCAGCGCTGCCCAGCTCACCCCTGGCACTGCCAGCTCTAGTCCCACACGTTTCCCCTCCTTCCCAGCCTGGTCAGTGCTGACTTCTGCACCGCAGCCGTTCTGATCTCCAGCGGAGCTGTCCTGGGCAGGGTAAGCCCTGGCCAGATGCTGCTGCTGGCCCTGCTGGAAGTCTCGCTGTGCACTCTCAGTGAATACATCCTGCTCGGCCTCATGGCGGTGAGTCACCAGGCAGGGAGCGGCCCTGGGCTCCCCACGCCGAGTTCTGCCTCATCGGGGGGCACAAATCCCCTGCCCCACTCCCTGCACGGTGCTGTTCCACACTGCCTAGGTGAGCGACAGCGGGCGCTCCTTGACCGTCCACACCTTCGGGGCTTATTTCGGCCTGGCGGTCTCACGGGTCTTGCAGCAGCCCCACAAGGACAAGAGGAAGAGGGAAGAGCAGCGGGATAAGGGGCAGCAGACGGATGTCTTTGCTGTGGTTGGTAGGGAGCTCGGATCCTACAGCTCCCAGGGCTGCTGGTGGAAGGGTCGTCACCAGCATGAGGGTGGTGAGGCTGTGGCTTTCACCAGGAGATTGCTGCAGACCACCGAGGACAGATGTCCTCCACCTCCCCAGGGAGAACCCTCTCCTAGAAAAAGCTTTTCCTTGTGTTCTACCTGAAACCTCCCTTGCTGCAAGCTGTGGCCTCGTGCATTTCTTGGCACCCACGAGAAGTTTGTGTCCCACAAGGGATCAAGTCCAGCACCAAGACCTGCTCTACTCCCTGCAGGAACCATCTACCTGTGGATCTTCTGGCCCAGCTTCACCTCCAGCACCACTGCCCACCACAATGCCGAGAACTGGGCAGTGCTCAACACCTACTTTTCCCTGGTGGCAAGCACCGTGGCCACCTTCATCCTCTCTCCTCTCCTCTACGAGGAGAGCACCCCGAGGATGGTAGGTCCTCTCCTGGGACAAAGCCGAGCTTCACGTCCTTCCCACATCCTGCCCTGTAGGAACAGTAAGCCTAAACACACCCAGGGCAAAGAGGGAGGCCTGTTAGGCTCCCTTAGGTTCATTCAGAACCAATTTGATCTCTGAAGAAGGCAACCCCTCCTCCCAGTCCCACTCTGATGCTCTCCATGGAGCCAATTCCCCTGACTGTGCCCTGCTCCATCAGGTGCAGATCCAGGATGCCACCCTGGCTGTCATGGCCATGATGGGCATGGCTGGGGAGATGCTGGCCACCCCCTTTGGGGCGCTCATCGCAGGGTTTCTGGTTGGCCTGATCTCCCCACTTGGCTCCAGGTTCTTCACGGTGAGTCCCCTTGGCACAGCCGAGGGTGCCGGGTCAGGGGATCTGCCCCCGGAGCTGCAAACCCGGGGCTGCAGCACGGCCTCCCTGAGCAGCTGGGCCCCAGCCCAACACCAGCTCCTCCCTGTGCTCTCCCCAGCCCCTTCTACACTCCAGGCTGAAAATCCAGGACACCTGTGGGGTTCACAACACCCACGGGCTGCCCGGGGTCCTGGGGGCCTTGCTGGGGACGCTGCTGACGCTGCTGGCCACCGCAGACACTTACGGCTACAGGTGAGAGGAGCCGGAATCGGGGATGCCGGTGGCTCGGTGCACCGAGCTGGGGCCACCACAACCCCTGAGGTCAGGGCTGCTCCACTCCCCCTGTTCCAGCAGCCCTTTAGAAGGCATCACCCAGAGCCAGGAGCCCGTGGCAAGCTCCCCAAAGCCTGTCCCCTCTGTGGCATGCAGGCTGGAGCTGGTGTTCCCGCTGGTGGCCCAGGGCAGCCGGACGGTCCCTGAGCAAGCACTGATGCAGCTCGGCGCCCTGCCCCTCACCCTGCTGCTTGCAGCACTCGGGGGCAGCCTCACAGGTGAGTTTTGCCCCTGGTGCAGCGGGATGGGCTGTGAGGGGCATCGATGGGTTCGGGGGGAAAGGGCAGCAGCAGCCCCAAAGCAAAGCATCCCCACCAGGCAGGCCGGGCAGAGCCCAGGGCTGCTCAGCACTGCGCAAACCCAGCCGAGGCTGGGGGGACCCCCGGGGCCAGGGCTCCCCTTGGGGCCAGGGTTATCCATGGGGCTTTGCTCCCCTCTGGCCAGGCTCCCCCCGAGTTCGTGCTCCCCCTGCTCCACGCTCCTCGCTGTGCCCGGGGCTCCCCGCGGGGTTGAGGCTTTCCCCAGGTCCGTGCTCCTCCCGGGGTCGGGGCTCCCCCCGGGCTCTGGGCTCCTCCCGGGTCCTGGCACCCCCCAAATCCCGGCTCCCCCCGGTCTGTGCTCCCCGCTGTGCTCGGGGCTGCCCCTGAATCCCGGCTCCCCAAGAATCCCGGCTCCCCCCGGTCCCGGCTCCCCCCGGTCCCCGCTCCCCGCTATGCTCGGGGCTCCCCCCGGGCTCTGGGCTCCTCCCGGGTCCTGGCACCCCCCAAATCCCGGCTCCGCCCGGTCTGTGCTCCCCGCTGTGTTCGGGGCTCCATTCGAGTCCCATCTCCCCCTGAATCCCGGCTCCATTCGAGTCCCATCTCCCCCTGAATCCCGGCTCCCCAAGAATCCCGGCTCCCCCCGGTCCCGGCTCCCCCCGGTCCCCGCTCCCCGCTATGCTCGGGGCTCCCCCGGTCCCCCCGGTCCCCGCTCCCCGCTATGCTCGGGGCTCCCCCCGGTGCCCGGTCCCCCCGGTGCCCGGTGCCCGGTCCCCCCGGTGCCCGGTGCTGCCGCTAGATGTCAGGGGAAGCCCGGGCAGCGGCCGCCCCGCTCTCAAACGCCCTCGCCCGGCTTTCGGCGTCCTCAGGAGCCGTCCTGAAAATCAGGGTGCCGAGGTGCTGCCGGGACGCGCAGTACAAGGAGAACGCCGCCTTCCGCGAGGTAAAGGTGGGGAATTGTTGGTGAAAGGGGTTTGTGGGTCTCCCGCAGCAGCAGGGGTTGGAAATTTCCCCCCAGCTCTTGGCACCCTCGCTCCTCTTGCAGCAGCATTCAGGGCAGGAGAGCTGCAGTAAATGCCCCCGGCCATGGATTCACAGAATCCCTGACTCATTTTAGGTTGGAAAAGCCCTCTGAAAGCATCAGGTCAAACCGTTCCACTACTGCCAAGGCCACCACTAAGGGCCACATCCACAAGTCTGTTAAATCCCTGCAGGGATGGTGACTTTACCACTCCCCTGGGCAGCTGGGCCAGAGCTGGACAATTCCAGCGAAAGAATTTCCCCCAATATCCCATCTAAACCTTCCCCCCAGCACCAGTGTGCCCCGAGCAGGGCCCATTTCTGCCCCTCTCGTGTCTCTGGTGCAGGTGCCCGAGGAAGGATCTGAGCCCAGTGCAAATGGAAAGGAGGAGCTGGGCATCAGCACCTTGGTGTGATGACCCCGAACCTCCAGGCAGGTCCTGCAGCACCAAAGGTCTGGCATGGCCGGTGCCAGCTGGCTTCTGGCAGCCTGAACGTCCCCGCAGCCATGCTGGTTGCCACGCAGGAGCCAGCTGCTGGTCCCAAACGTTTTGGGAGCAGCTGGGTGTGCACAGGCCTCTGCAGGGTGAAGAGGGGCTGTGGGATCCCTGTGCTGGCTGTGGGAGCAGCACAGCTCTTGCTGCCAGGGTCACCTCAGGGTGTCCAGGCTTGGCTCAGCCACTTCCCCTCCCTGCTCCTTGCCTCAGTTTCCCCATCAGCTGCTCTCTGGAGGAAGGCAGTGGGGAGAGGAGGGATGATTGTGTTGGGGAATGGGCACAGGAGGCTGAACAGAAAGCAGCAAAGACTTTGTACAGACACTTCTGCGCACAGCAATTAAAATATATGGATTTTTTTGTAGCTTCAGGATTTGCCCCTGAATTCTCATGGCACCTGCCCAGCTCTGCTGGCTGTTTCCTTCAGGTGTCATCCAGGGAGGAAGGCAAAACCCCCCGATTTCCCCTGCACCCCAAACACTGATGCCCACTTGGTTTCATGGGCTGTGCCACCCACCTGAGCATGGTGCAGCCTTTGGAGTGTGGGACAGCACCCAGGAGCAGGAGCAGGGTGACAGCGGGGTCCCCAGCACAGGGGTGACCCCTGCCTTCCCCTGACCACCTCACCTCGCACCAGGGGCTCCTCTCAGCGCAGAAATGTCCCCAGCACTCAGCCCTGCTGTGACAGGGATGCTCCTCTGGCCACTGCAGCCCCAGCACCCAGAACCCGGCCCCACATCCCCCTGCAAAGGGGCTGCCACCGCACCTGGGAGCACACTGGAACACCCCGGGAATGCTCGAGGGAACCCACAGAGAGTCCTACAGCGCCTGGAGCAGGGGCACAGCCCCAGAGGGCTCCCAGAGGGGCGATGGTGGATGTGCCAGGGGTCCCCGATGAGGGGGGACACCTTGGGGTCCCATCTCTCATGAGCCGGGGGTGGCTGTCAGACACTTTCACACTTCCCGTGCCAGACTGGCGCTCGCCATGTGGGATTCCCGCGGGCACACGTGTCCCCAGCTGCCAGCAGCATCCCTGAGGAGGGGACCACAGCCCCACCCCACAGAGGGGACAGGGGGCGCAGGGCCAGCACAGCAAAGTCTGGGGCAAATGATTTGCTACCCGACCAGAGCAGCCGCAGGTGGGACCTTCTTGTTCTCAGATCTACTGCTGTTGAAGCACACAGGTTTCCTTTAATTGGCTGGACAAATAATGCCAAAAAGGTAATGAAAAGCATTTGTTTGCAGGTGATCATAAACGTCCCCAGCAGTAAGTCAAAACTTCTTGCTTTTATATGAATCAAACTATCACTTTAACTTTCCCCACTTTCGTGGTCCGTTAGAGAAAACTGGTGAAATCAGCACATTTAAATGCTTTGGTGTCACTGAAATTCCATGACGAAACACAGGGAAGTGGGTCACGCGTGCCCGCTTCTGCTGCCGCTGCGGGCCCTGGGGAAGGTTTCTGCGGGCAGCGGCCCCGCTCCTCGCTCAGGCGGCAGCGGGGACACGTCCCCGTCCCCACGGCCCCGTGACATGCCAGGGGCAGAAGGGCAGCGAGGGCTGCCGGGCTCCAGTCGTCACCCCCAGCCCCGCGCCACCCCCTCCCACCTCACCTCCTCCCCTTTCCCAGGCAGCCCCCTTCTCCTTTTTGATCTCCTCGCAGCGCATTTCAAAAGCGACCCACTGCGACGGGGAGAAAATCCCCTCCAGTGAGATCATTGCGAGACCCTCAGCCGCCGGGGTCGGGTGTGAAATGGACCTCCCTCCTCCTCCTCCTCCTCCTCCTCCTCCTCCTCCTCGTCCTCGTCCTCCTCCTCCTCGTCGTCGTCCTCCCCTCGGCCGGCCCCGGCCCCTCGGCAAGGCTGTTCTGTTTTGTAATCGGATTAGGGGAGCCCCGCGCCCTCCCCGCGGCCGCTCCCCGGCGCGCCCGGCCGCGGCCGCCGCTCTCCCCGCGCTTGTTTAAGCGGGCGCGGAGCTCGCCGCGCTCCGTGCGGGAACCGGGGCCGCCGAGAGCCTGAAAGGTTTAGTCAGCGAACAAATTGCTTCTCTGTAGGGGCCGTTTTCTTCCCAAGTTGAACATAATGATGGCAGTTTGAGGAACAGATGGTGCAGCTAAGCAGATAATCCCGCCGGGCTCCGGGAGAGGCAGCGCCGGCTCTGCCCGCGGCGCCCGGCGCCGGCCCGGGACGGGAGGGTCGCGCCGCTGTCGGGGTGACGATCGCACAAGGAGCTTGGGCGAGCACCCCACCTTCACACCTCTTCTGCCTCGGGGGTGGTTTGGGTGCCAGACTTCGCTCGTGCCTCAGTTTCCCCGGCCCTGCGGGGAGTCCTCTGCTCCGTCACTTCGCAAGGCTGGGCTCACCCCCGGATCGCAGCCTGGCCTGGAGAGATGTAATGCGAGACAAAACAGCTTTCCCTGCGCTGGAGCAAAGGACAGCCGAGAACTTACAGCTCGTTTTCCTCTCATTTTCCTATTTTGCCCCTCTCTCCAACAGTATGTGGAAAGAGCTGAAGAAATTCCACCAGCTCGCAGGGGCTGGGTGTGCGGTGTGCCCGTGTCAAGCTCGGGGACGCCGGGATCTGCCTGCTAAATGAGTCTTTCTTTAAAATACACCAGCGGGACGAGCCCAGCGCCCCGCAGACACGATGCAGGCAGGGCGAGGCACGGACACGGCTGCGTGGAGCAAGCCCTGCCCGCCTGCCCACGCTGGCACCAGAGACCCTTCCCCAGGCTCGGGGCTCCCACAGCCTTCAGGACACGCTCCGGGCACACTGCACCGATGTCCGGCGGGGTTGTTTCATTCATGTCCCCGTCCCCTGAGAGCCCCGGCTCTGACAGCTCCCCTGCCCTCTCCTGGCAGCCCAGCTGCCTAATTCACCTCTTGCTAACGCAGGAGCTCAATCAGCTGCTCGAAGGGCGTTTTACGAGTCAAAGCAATAACAACATCCCTCTGCTACAGCTGGGGAAACTAAGGCACACAAAGAGGTGCCGGCAGTCCATTGGAATTAGAAGCAGGACAAAGCCCGGGCTCCCCGAGCTCCTGGCGTACATGTCCTTACACATCCACAGCCCCCACCCGCAGCAGCTGATGCCGTGTGCTGTTTGATAGAAAGGCAGCTAATCATCTTTCCCACCTTCCTTGGAGTGTGAATCGTTATCCCAGCGACACCTGTAAAGCTCCTTGTCAGACAAGGCTGGTGCACACATCTCATAATGGGCACCAGATGGGAGAGGGAGGGCTCGGGAGAGCCTGGCCGGCCCCACGCTGAACAAAGAGCATGCCCCACGGCTTCCCGGTACGGACTGGTCACCAGCACTGGTTTGGAAGGTCAGCAGCAAGGAGAGAGCCCAGGCAGAGGTGGCAGTGGAGGAAGAGCCACCACCCATGGCCCTGAACACCTCGATAACTCCCCAAGCAGCCCTGCCCTTTGGAAAAGGACCTGGCAAAAGTGACAAGTGAAGGTTCAAGGCAGGAGAGGCACGGAGCCCTGCTCACCACAGCGTGCCCAAAGCCTGGCACCGGGCACCCCAAATCCTCCAAAGCACATCCCACCATGCCTTGGAGCCTCTGCTCAGTGCCAGCCTTGCTGTGGCACCACAGGTGCAGAAAATCCCCCCACAAATTCAATGGTGACAGGGAGGACACGATGTGAATCAGAGACAGGTCCCTGCACTTGGACTGAGCCAGAGCCCCCCAGGCTTCCTCCCCGACCTGAAACTTCGGGGGCAGAGCTCAGCCCCTCTGCCAACCCACCCCCCTGACCTGAAACTCTGGGGGCAGAGCTCAGCCCCTCTGCCAACCCGCACCCCTGACCCAAAAGTTTGGGAGCAGAGCTCAGCCCCTCTGCCAACCCACCCCCCTGACCCGAAACTTTGGGAGCAGAGCTCAGCCCCTCTGCCAACCCACCCCCCCGTGGACGTGCCACTGCAATTACAGAACCACATTTTCAGGCCTCCATTCATTGCCAGCAGCATAATGAGCCCCCAGGCACCATTAGTGGGGGCAAAGCAATTAAAATTGCTGCCCTGGTAGCTGCGTGGGTGGCTCTGGTGTGGGCTGCTGCCAGTGCCCGTTTTGGGGCGAGTGGGCACCGCCAGGCTGGGCAGGGCCTCAGATTGCTGCCTGTCCCTAGGGGTGAACAATCGACTCGTTTTTCCCCATGTTCAAAGAATAATAAAATAAAAATAAAGAGGGAAGAACGGCCCCAGTAAAGCTGGGAGTCAAGTTTATTTACAAACTGAGTATGAAGTGAAGGGCCTGGAACAAAGGTGTTATGTAAGGGACAGTCACTAAGGGGCTCTTTACCCACGCTAATTGCCACTTGCTCCATGATATCCATTTATCTCACAGCTGAAATGGCCTCCTCAGGCTTGTGGGTTCAAGCAGTGCTTGTTTGCAGCACTGCCCAGTGCAATTAGTGCACCAGCACAGGGGTGGTGCGGTCCCACCACCCAAACCCACCAGGAAGCCTCACACCGCCCCAAAAAGTGGGATCATGCCCACAGAGGGTGGATGTGCTGGTGGGCACGTGGCTTGGCAGGGAGAGGCGCTGCCTTGCGTGGGACTGGTGTTGTGTAACGGGGGGGACAACGGGGCTTAGGTCTGCAGGAGGGACCTCGAGGTCATCCCAGCCCAGCCCGGGTGCTGAGGGGCAGAAAACCATCGTGAGATTCTTGTGGAGGCAGCTGCAGAATGATGGCCCTGTGAGGAGAGCGAGGTCTGGAGAGGATGAGCAGAACCTGCTGCTTGTGGTGGTGGTCCCCAGGGGTCCAGCCGGAAACTGCCCTCAGGTGCAACAGCCCAAAAGGCAGAAACCAGAATAAAAACCACCGTGGGGAGCAGAGGCTGCTGTGAGCGCTGCATCCCATCCCTGCCCTCACCCCTGGCATGTCCAGGGGCACAGAGAGACCCTGAGCTCTGCTCCAGCCAAACTCAGCAAAGGGAGGAAGACGAGGTGGCGGCACCCCCAGGAGCCAAGAGGTCGATTTTATTGACAAACTGATTCTTGAGTGGAGCAGGGGAACAATGCTGGCCTCAGCCCGGGTCACTGGGGCTGTGTAAAGCAAGGGAGAGCCCTCCAGGCGAGTGGCCTTTACCAACGTGTTTGCATAACCTCTGACCCCTTCTTTTGGGGTTTAATTGAAATCCCAGCTCGGTGACAAATTGGCATGACCAGCAGGCTGGAGGCCGGGAGGGTGAGCGTGGAAGCGACGCTGGAAATTCCCTTTCCTGCTCTGGCGGTGACCAACCCGCTGCCCCTGCTGCCCTGCCGTGGGACACCTGCAAAGCCCAAGGCGTGTTTTAATCACACCCTGCTCCTTGGTCTGGTGCCGTGGCACTGCCCAAAGGCCACCACAAAGGGCAACTGCCCGAGCCCACCAGCAGCTCTGTCCAGTACAGGCAGGAGCAGGAAAACACTGCCTGGGGGGTGTGAGACTCCTTCAGGAGCGCTCTGGGCTGAAGCCTCCTCGGCTGGAATGCTCTGATGCTTCATTAATCCCAGAACTCGTTAGGCTGAGGCATTTGCAGTGTGCACCCCCACCACAGAGACCCCTCTCCCTCGCTGTCCAAAGGGAAAGGTCACAGCCCCTCTCCAGTCTTGTCTCGAAATAAAAACGGCTTTGGAGCACCAATAGGAGAAATGAGCTGCTGAAAAAACAAACGTAACTGAAGTCCCAAAGCAGTTCCCACTGACTGGGGATCAAAAACTGACACTGAGCCAAACGGAGCTGAAGTCATCCTACCTCGGATGTTCCTGGGAGAGAGGTGAGAAATGACAGAATTCCCCGTGATGGCAAAAATCTCATTTTCTGCAGAAACCAGACTAAAAACAAAGAGAAAAAAAACCCAAACCAGTCTCCTCTCAATCCCCATCCCTTTTCCAGAGCACTTGCAGCATCCCAGCTGCTCCGTGCAGCACATTGGTGATGCAGAGCTGGTGCTACGTGGAGGTACCAGTGCACCTGAGAGGGATGTCCAGGTGAGTGTCCCTGCTGGCTAAAGGGACTCCACAGAGTTACAGCAGAACCCTCCAAAGCACAAATATTTCCCTCCCACTTTCCTTCCTGTCCCGGAATACCAGATTCTGGGATTAGACTGCAGAACTTTCCTGCCCACAGGTAAAGATTTAATATTTCCCATTGTGTAGATCATGCAGGGTGAATCCCAGCTGCCCTTTACGGGGTTGGAGTAACGTCTGGTATGGTGTGCAACCACACCCCTGAAGTGCAAACAGCACAAGTGAGGCTTGAGCAATTCCCACTCAATCCGAGCCGTTTCCACGTGCAGGCAGGGCCTGCGAGTCCCTGAGGTTCCTGCCTGTGGTCCTGCTGGCCCTGCCCTGTAGGGTTTCACTGGTCCTGGAGGAACATCCCACACTTTGGAGCCACAGCCACACGTTTTGCAGCACCAACACGAGACTTTCCCTCAGGAGCGTGTCTGTACATCCAATTCACATTGAAGCACCTTAAAAACAGAGCAGTCCCACATGGAGGCAAAACCCAAAAATATCTCCATTGCCGCCTGCTTGACTGTCTGCACCTCATTTGCAAATCATTTACGGGGATTTTTACATATCCTAAAATACTTCTAATTGCAGGTTTCGTGTCTGTCATCCGTCACTGATTAATACATTTCGTTGCTATTATTGTTATTAGTACTATTAACCGTGCAGCCATCCAATTCACAAATCAAAGTCTGTTGCCCAGGATGGAGCCACAAGGATCAGGTTTGTTTCTAGGAGGTGCAGCCATCAGAGGTGATGAGACCCACAAGAGCAGCCCCTTGCCCTCGTGGATCTCAGACCCCTTTGCAGAAGATGTACAAGGCGGGGTGGAAATCGGCCCCAACGCCTCCAGCAAACTGGGGGTACTGGTGGGGACTGGAGAATTTAATTCCTTCACCCTCCCACCTCCCCATGCCGCCTTGCAGTTTGTCACGTTTCAAGGGAGACAAACCGGTTGTAACTTTGTTTTTTGACCTCCTTCTCTCACACACACCGCTGGGAAGAAATCGGGGATGATTTTATCCCCCCGTTGGTTCTGCCCCCGCCTCGCAGGACAGCCTCACGCTCTGCTGGCTGTCACTTAGCCACCTTCCCCCGTGCCCCGTGGGTCACTATTCCCCCACACAAACTTCGCTTTCCACCAGTTGAAGATCTTAGAGGCTTCTCGCACAAAACCCTTTGAGGTATTTCATGCGAGGCTTGAAAAGGCTCCTGCTTCCTCTGGGGGGCATTATCATGACAACCGCCTTTAATTCAGCGCAGCTCCAGGCTCCCAGCTGGATCCTCAGCCACGCCAAGTCCCCCCGACACCCTTCGGCTGGCTCAGAGAGGCCAAAGGAGCGCACGGGTCCCAGGATCACGGGGAACTGGCCCATCCCCATTTCCCAGTCCCCATCCTCATATATATTCCCTTCCAGTCGCCCCGCACTTTTCTCTGCGCCTTCTTCTTTTGCGAGCGCTGCCCTCCTCTTCCCCACTCCCACCGGGCGCTTCCCTCCTCCCCGCGGTCCCTCCTCTGTCCCCGGCATCCCCCTTTCTCTCGGCTCTCTATAAACAAAGCGCCTCAGTGTCTGCGGGAAGAAAAGTTGCATTATGCAAATGGGAAAAAGCGAACAGGAGATTTCTCACTCCGAGAACCCCCATTCCGGGCCTGCACCTCGGTTTCCATGGCATGACCAAAGCCTGCTGGAAGCTGGTTTGCATACGGATGAGAGAGGAGATGAAATCAGCACGAAAGCCCATCGCTGACAGAACGCCATTGTTTCGCCTGTCTGATTTGGAGGCTAATAAAACGCCATTAAAAAAAAAAAAGAAAGAAAGAGGAAAAAAAAAAACCCTGCCGCTTTCATCCTGGCTTTGCTCAGGGACGGGGAGGGGGCGTTAAATATGGTGACGGAAGATCATCTGCACCGTCGGGCTTGGGGTGAAGGTGTTTGGCACAGGGGAAGGAAATTCCCAGGATGCACTGTCCCTGCAAGCCGAGCGATGCCGACAGGAGATGGTGCTGTGGGCAGAGCGCTGGGCTGCCAGAGGCTGCCAGGGCAAAGCCAGCTTTGCTCCTCTCCAGGAGACACGGGAGCAGCCGGGCATGAAACCAGCCCAAGTGCAGCCTCAAAGCCGCCCATCCCACGGCACATCTCAGGGAGTCCATCCGTGCACTCATGCCACGTCCAGGAGACACACTGGGCTGCGATCAGGCTCTCCCGGGTCACAGGCTTTCAGGGTGGAATGAATTAAAAGCTGTGAATAAAAGGCTGGGGTGGGGAGAAGGTCAGGGAGCTGCTCAGTGCTTCCATGCTCCTTTACCACACAAGCCATGACTGTGCTGGAGGAGAAGGAAGAGACAACACGGAATAGAAACACGCACGGGTGTCCCATCTGTCCTAACAGCCTCCTTGGGCTGCTCCTGATGCTCCAGCACATCCCAGCACCTTTCCCAGGGCTCCGAGTGAAGCAGAGATCCATGAGGGGTGAGCTGGATGCAGCAGGAGCCTGGCACTGGCTCTTGGCCCTCGGAAGCTCTCCTGCCCTCGGCCTTGCCATGGCCACCCAGTCCCTCTCCCGCTGCCAGCAGGGCATTGTGTGCAGTGTGTGCCTTCCAGAACAGCGTGATTGGCCTTGAAAGGGCTGATTTGCTTTCCCCGGTCCATTGAAACTCAGAGACCAAAGCCTGTTCCCTCCAGGCGCTCAGAAACCTGGCACCCTTTCCACTTCGCTTCCCTGCGCCCCTCGGCCCAGGGGCTCCTGCTGAGATTTTGCTGTCAACAGAGTTTTGTTCCTTTTCTAGGGCGGCGCAGAAGGGACACAAGGACCTTGAAAACGGCAGCTTCTTTGACACGGCTATTCTCCTTCGACCCCCCTGGCTGAATAAAAAACTCACAAAAATGGAGTTTACTGTATTTCCTCTGTAGGGGGAAAACACTGCATCTTGGTCCTAATTAATTTACCTAATTAACATTGGGTCTGTATGCAAAGACCTCTTTCTGTACCGGCCGGGACAGAGGAAATAACAGGAATAAAAATATATTCAGGCAACTCTCAGCCCCGACTGTAAAAGGGACATCGCAGGATGAACTGTGCCCCACCGATAATTTAAGCCTCAGAGAAAGAGTCTGCAGGAGAACAGCCTCCAGCTCCACCTCGCCTCTGTTTGGGGCCAAATCACACCAGAATGGCACTGGGCAGGAATGTCCTCGGGGAATTCACTGCTCGGGGGATGCAGCAGGAGGGACACAAGGCACAGATCCTGTGAGGGAGGGGAGCCAGGAGAATGTCCGTGAGTGAAAGCTGCTGGGCTGACCCTCCTGCTGCCTTAACAGAGGCTCTGTGCCCACCTGCCTGGGGCCAGCTCCATGTTTAGACCCTGAATTTTCCCAGGGCTTGCCCATCTCCACTGCTCCTGCCTAGGAAAGCCCTGCTCTGCTATTTTGTTCTTTTCCCTGCCAGATGCCAGCTCTCTCCAGCCTCTTTCTTCTCCCCACGCTTTGCTTTGCCGCATAGTTCCGGAAATCAGAAACAAAAGAAGAGGAAAGAAAATAGGCTGGATCTGGGGGGGAGGAGGGGGAGTTTCCCTTCCGTTAAGCTTTTCCAGCTCTCCCTGCCTCCCAATATGAGCCACGATATGGCACCTCACATGACGGGCGCCCGCGCCCACGTGCGTGGCCACGTGATGAGATGCCCAGTTATGCCAGGCTGCTGAATGGGGGCGAAAGCCAGGATGCTGGAGCCCAGCCTCGTGGGCAGGAGAAGCAGGAGGAGGCAGGAGAAGCTCCTCTCTGCTCTCGCTCTGCAACCCAAAGCTGCACTGTCGGAATCGGAGCTATTGATGATTCCCAGATTGTAGAAAGTCTCTGTCTTTCTGCCCCGTTACCAAAGAAGAATTCATAATTGGTCTGTGCTGGTTTCCAGGTTGTTTATTCTGTTTATCTCTCACATGTTCTGCTGCCCTGCCCAGCTCTGTCCTGCAGGGCAGCGTGTGGGGCTCTGTCCTCAGTGGGATGTGACAAACATTAAATACCACAAACTCCCTGGGCTGCATTTACAAGAACGTGCCAATATCTGTCACCTACGTTGGACAGTGTGTCCCCAGCCTGGACCAACAGAAAAACGCCAACACCACAGTGAGACATGGAGGGCATGAAGAAGGAGAAAAAGGACAAGGCACACCCAATTTCCTGCATCTTGTCCCCTTTGAACCCCTAATCTAAAACCCTAAAATTTTACTTTTGCACCCTTGCCACACTTAATTATTACTGATATCAAACCCTCAGAGCTGGCAATTCATCCTGTAAGATTGAAAACTCTTTTCCATGGACAGAGATCACAGCCAGTGTCTCTGGGGACTCTGTCCAGGGGGTTCTGACCCCTGCCAGGGTCCCAGAGCAGCCAGAGGGAAGCTCTGGATTCCCACACTGCACGGCTGAAACACACAGGCTGGAGGGAAAGTGCTCCCAGGCCACACACCCACAGCCTTTGTGGCTCAGTTGAAGCAGTAAGAGCTGTGCTATCAGGGCAGGATGTTGGCTCAGACCCGCCGTGGTTATTGGGGCCCTGCAGATCAGATTCTGGCAGCCAAAACTCCCCAAGCACTGTGAACTGCAGAGCCCGAGTCACTCATCTGCCTCCGCATCTTCGTGTAATCCCCCCTTCCAATAGGGCTGGCAGCCTGGCTTTAGGTGTCCACATTGTCTGAACACTTTGATTCACAGATATTTTTGGTTTATAAAGGGAAATTCCTCATCCTGGGCTTCATATTCATTCACTAAAACGTCCAGCAATCATCCTAGAATTTGCTTTCCACAACAAATAAAGCCCCAGCTCAGTGCGTGCTCCCATTTGGGAGTGTCAGCTCCCGTTCTGAGCTGCCTTTCCCAACTCCCCTCACCGATGACAGCCCTGGATTTCAATGCCCTGCGAGCAGCTCCCACCCTCGGGAGCCCCGTCAGGACTCTCCACGAGGGAGGAAGGATGGGCAGGACCCTTTGTGCATCCCGCTGGACCAGAGGGAAGGTGTTTGCAGCGAAGGCTCTGCTTGGCTTTGCAGGGAGGGTCGGAGCGTCCCCCAGCACCAGGAACGGCGCTGGGGCTGTTGGGGCTGAGTGGGGCAGGGGCTGCTTGGCTCCAGCCACAGTAAGAACTGCAAAGAGATGAGAAAATGGAGCCACACACTGAGGCTGGCACAAGGGCACCGCCCTGGCACTGGGGCTCGCTGCTGGAGGGGGAGCAGGGTCAGCACGGTGCCCACCCCCAGCTCCCAAAGCAAAGCCCAGCACGGCCTCGGTGGAGCACAGAGCTGCCAAAACCAGTGCACAGCACCAGCCCTGCCAAAACAAGCATTGCCACAGCCCAACTCCCCCGTTGTCTCCTGGAGGAGGGACCTCAGACAACTTCACCTGCCGCTGGAGCAGGAGCAGGGAGATGCTCCCACCACCCGAAACCTGCTATTAGTGGCAGGTGCTCTGTCCTCCCCGTTTCCAGCTGCCGCCAGACTTCCAGTAATTCTCAGTGACCTCGTTTTCACTTCGTTTTGTAAATAATTTTTGGGTTGTTGTTTTTCATTTTACTCAGTTTTTAATTTGTTGTTGTTTCCCTCTGAGCTGGAGTTTGTCATTTAATCAACTTAGACCCAGATATCCTGGAGGGTGTTTTGGGGAAGGGGGGTGGGGGGGAAGAATGAAAACGCTAATGTCACATCACCTCCCTAAAATGAGTTTTAATTGTAATCCTTTAATCCCTCTCAGATGGCCCTCTCTTCACTGATGTTTTTCATAATTATTCCTTGCCATTTTCCCATCGGTCTAAGGAGTGTCTTCAAGAGGGAGGGGGTGGAGAAAAGGCCCTTTTATAAAATAATAATAATGGGCCAAATTAAGACACAAAGAGGGAAATAACAAGGGGGCAAGGGCTGCAGAGACAGAATGGGGATTATTAATGCCTCCCCCCTCAGAAATTTCAGTGATGGTGCTCTCAGCCACCCCAATCAGTGGGCAATTGAGGCTTGTTTGCTCGAGTGGCTGCATCCTCCTACAATGACCCACATTTAGCCAAGTGGCTGCATTGACAGAGTACCAGGTGCGCAGGATGGGGAAACCGCCTCGAGGCAGCGTCTCGCCAGCCCGCCCAGCACCGAGGGTCTGCACGGGGCTGCCCACCTCTGGGGCAGTGCCCACCTCTGGGGCAGAGCCCACCTCTGGGGCAGAGCCCACCTCTGGGGCAGTGCCCACCTCTGGGACAGAGCCCACCTCTGGGGCAGTGCCCACCTCTGGGACAGAGCCCACCTCTGGGACAGAGCCCACCTCTGGGGCAGTGCCCACCTCTGGGATGGTGCCCACCTCTGGGGCAGAGCCCACCTCTGGGGCAGTGCCCACCTCTGGGACAGAGCCCACCTCTGGGGCAGTGCGCACCTCTGGGACAGAGCCCACCTCCGGGGCAGTGCCCACCTCCGGGGCAGTGCCCACCTCTGGGGCAGTGCGCACCTCTGGGACGGTGCCCACCTCTGGGACAGAGCCCACCTCCGGGGCAGTGCCCACCTCTGGGACAGAGCCCACCTCTGGGACAGAGCCCACCTCTGGGACAGAGCCCACCTCTGGGGCAGTGCGCACCTCTGGGACAGAGCCCACCTCTGGGACAGAGCCCACCTCTGGGACGGTGCCCACCTCTGGGACAGAGCCCACCTCTGGGGCAGTGCCCACCTCCGGGGCAGAGCCCACCTCTGGGACAGAGCCCACCTCTGGGACAGAGCCCACCTCCGGGGCAGTGCCCACCTCTGGGACAGAGCCCACCTCTGGGGCAGAGCCCACCTCTGGGGCAGTGCGCACCTCTGGGACAGAGCCCACCTCTGGGGCAGAGCCCACCTCTGGGATGGTGCCCACCTCTGGGACAGAGCCCACCTCTGGGACAGAGCCCACCTCCGGGGCAGTGCCCACCTCTGGGACAGAGCCCACCTCTGGGACAGAGCCNGTGCCCACCTCTGGGACAGAGCCCACCTCTGGGACAGAGCCCACCTCCGGGGCAGTGCCCACCTCTGGGACAGAGCCCACCTCTGGGACAGAGCCCACCTCTGGGGCAGAGCCCACCTCTGGGGCAGTGCCCACCTCTGGGATGGTGCCCACCTCTGGGGCAGAGCCCACCTCTGGGGCAGTGCCCACCTCTGGGACAGTGCCCACCTCTGGGGCAGTGCCCACCTGCCCGAGGATGTGGTCAGTGGGCATTCCCCTGCAGAACTGCAGAGCTCCCAGGGCCCTCTGCTGCTCTGGAGGGCACCAAAGGGCATCGTTCCCTCTGCTGCTGCCAGGTCTCAGCCCCGTTACCCTCTGAAACCAGTTGTAACTCATCTTTGCTCTCACCCACATGGAGCCAGAAGGATGCTGAAGGGGGAAGGCACTGACTTCCCCAGCAGCAGCAGCACAGAGGTTATGCCTGGCTTGGAAGGAGGGCAGAAAGGGTTTTCAGGATGGTCACAGTCCTGCCAAGGGGCCGCTGAGCCCCAAGTGCCATCTCAGCCCTCGGTGCTCTGCCCGCACCTGCCAGCAGCCACTCCTGTCCCTCTGCAAAGCTGAGGCAGCAGGAGACCAAAGCAACCCGTGTCCCAGTGGCTCTGAGCAGCACCCACTCCCACTCAGGATCTCAGGGTCTCTGCTGCTCTGGAATGCCAGACCCATCACAGCCATGTCCGGTCCAGCCTCCTTCCACAGTGCCAGAGCTGGGAGCATCACCCAAAACCTCCTGAAGGGACCATGAGCCCAAGAAAAGTTCACTGGCTGCTCCTGAGCACTTTGGGAAGCGAATCAGAGCCACGTTTCCAGGTTAATGTGTCTCTCAAGTCTCAAGGACACAGGGGTGGTGATTCAGGGGAGTTGGAGGAGGCGGCCTCAGGAGCACAAGCAGGAG